GGAGGCGGCGTTAGCGGGAGGCGAGGGAGTTGTGGACGGCCGAGCTGGCCAGGCAGTTCTCCTCCAGCGCGCACTGCAGCATGAGCATCGGGCGGTCCTCCAGGTAGGCTGTCTGCTCCACCAGCTCCGCGTTGAGCACCAGGTCAGGGGCGGCTGGGAGAAAGGAAAGCAGCTTTGAATTTAGTGACGGGTGGCTGAAAACCCCTGCAAATGTCACAGAATCCCAGACCATTAGGGATTGGAAGGGACCTCCAAAGCTCATCCAGTCCAATCCCCCTGCCGGAGCAGGAACACCCAGATGAGGTTGCACAGGAAGGCGTCCAGGCGGGTTTTGAATGTCTGCAGAGAAGGAGACTCCACAACCTCTCTGGGCAGCCTGGGCCAGGGCTCTGTCACCCTCACTGAGAAGAAGTTTCTTCTCCAATTGAAGTGGAACCTCCTGTGTTCCAGTTTGTGTCCGTTACCCCTTGTCCTATCATTGTTTGTCACCGAGAAGAGCCTGGCTCCATCCTCGTGACACTCACCCTTGAAATATTTATAACCATGAATGAGGTCTCCCCTCAGTCTCCTCTTCTGCAAACTAAAGAGCCCCAGCTCCCTCAGCCGCTCCTCAGAAGGGAGATGCTCCACTCCCTTAATCATCTTTGTAGCCCTACGCTGGACTCTCTCCAGCAGTTCCTGTCCTTCTTGAACTGAGGGGCCCAGAACTGGACACAATATTCCAGATGTGGTCTCACCAGGGCAGAGTAGAGGGGGAGGAGAACCTCTCTCGAGGTCTTCCTTGCACTGTATTTCTCAGCCCGCTCAGCAGCAATTTGCCATTCCTTTAACACATCCAAGGCATGTCCCGGGTCACCCCATTTCTCCTGCGTATCTCATGGCTAAAACTTACCCCAAAACAAAGTAAAACTTGGGTTACTCACTCTCCGAGCAGGACACACCAGCACCAAAACGACCCCCTCCTCTGGAACAGGAGACGTCGGCTCCGTCGTGACGACAGTGGGCCAGGGACATCTCTGTCCCCGAGCACTTGACGCCACTCATCACCACGTTGTCAGCGCTGACGTCCCCATGCCAGTACCACGTTTCCTGGGCAGAAAAAAAGGCGTTTCACTCACTTTTCAGTGTTTAGCTGAGGGGGATATATCCATCCTTCTGCAAATTGCATTTTCCCTCCAGGGAAGATCAAGGCAAGAGCCCACGCTATCGAGGAGACTGATTTTGCCAAAGGATGCTGGAGCAGTGAAGCATAAACTGAGGAATAAGCTCAAGTCTGTATAAGCAGAAGGTTTGTCAACCTGGGTCTTAATCCCAGTCCCATGTTCCCAGCCCTGAACATCTCACCAGTGTTAAGCAAATCTCTTTTAGCCTGGAGAAGAGAAGGCTGAGGGGAGACCTCATCACCACCTCCAACTGCCTCAAGGGAGCTTGTGGAGAGGTGGGTGCTGGTCTCTTCTCCCAGGTGATGGGGGATAGAACAAGGGGAAACGGCACCAAGCTGTGCCAAGGGAGGTTCAGGTTAGAGATAAGGAGGAAGTTCTTTACTGAGAGGGTCGTCAGAAGCTGGCACAGGCTGCCCAGGGAGGTGGTGGAGTCCCCATCCCTGGATGTGTTTAAAGAGCGGGTAGACGAGGTACTTAAGGATATGGTTTAGGGGGTAGACAGGAACGGTTGGACGTGATGATCTCAGAGGGCTTTTCCAACCGAGCCATTCTGTGATTCTGCCCTTGTTTCTGAGCTGGTTTAAATCTCTGCTTGTTTTTAATCCAGCTGTAAACTCACTTTTCCAACCTGCTCTGCTTGTCCAGCTGATGAATTCATCCTTAAGTCATCCAGGCTGCGCTTTTGGGAGAGATGGTGAGGAACTAAACCACATCTGTCTTGTGTCATCTGCGCACTTGGGAGGGCGAAAAGTAACGCCTGCTTGCACAAGGAGGGAATGGCACTGGAAGTGCCACTGGAAATGAGGCATTTGAGGGATACCAGGGCTGCATCTCTTGGTTTTTAAGGGGGATTCACAGATGTTCAAACCCTGCTCCTCTTCATCGCCCAGTTTTACAAAACTCGCGGCAACGACAGAAAAATCAACTCGCAACGTAACACAAAACCAAACCCTGACGAAGCTGCAACTGCAAACTTGGGTGAAAAGGAGGGAAGAAAGAAGGGGGAAAAAAAGGGATCTGTGAGTGTCAAAACTGGGAGCACGTTTCCAGGAAAAGAAAACCCATCTGTAGCATTGCTTCCATTGCAACGGGCTGTTTGTTAACCCTGTTAGCAACGCTCGCACACAGGGCTGCCCTGTTCCACACAGTGTAGCTTTATGCTCACGTAGCGGCGCAGCCGGGATGTGCATAAGGGCCTTTTCTGTTCTAAATACCAGCAGTCTCAGCTAAAGGAAAAAATGTCTTGTTTCTCGCTGGACTCTCAGGGCTGTGTCAATAGAGCCGGGCAGTTGGAAAGGGCAGCGTTGAAGGGACGTGGCCGTCCTCAGCTCCTGCAGGAAATCACCTGGAGGAACCAGCTTGCATGGGGGCATTGCTATAACCTTCCACCTCCTGGGTGTCTGACTCCAGTGTGTCCCTCGGGGACCTGCAGATCCCCTCTCTGGCCGTGGATAACCTTTAAATTGGTTGGAATTTGGCTGCCCATGAGCCCAGCGTGTCCTCCTGGATCCCGGCTTGGTCACTCCTTAAACTCACGGCACAAAGAGCAGAGCAGAGCCAAGCAAACCCCAGGCTTGGAGAACGGGGACAGCCTCTACTCTCTGAATTTTGTTTGCCCAAGTTTTCGACTTCCAGAAATTGTTTGAGGAAAAGAGTTTTTCTTTCCAGAACTGATCTAAGGCTGTTTTCTGTGCACAAGTTTCCATCCATATAAACACACATGAAGTTTATTTATCCAGTGGCCAGTTGAGCCTAAGTGTCCCCAAAGCTGCTGTCGATTGTTGCTTCTCCATTGAAATGCCTCAAAGGGGCTGCATTTCCAAAGCACAGCGAGCTCTGACAGGGGATTACTTCATCCTAGGGAGAAACCAGTTTCTTTTAGGAGCCCAAATCCCCATTTCTGCAATAGAAGTGACATATTTCCTTGCAAAAGCTGCTGTAACAGCCAGGTCTGCCTGTTCCTCTTTCACCTTGTGATCCTCAAGGGATGGATTGGTACAGAAGAGCATCTTGCACCAAGTTATTTACACCTGATGCCCTTTATCCATCTGGGAACTGGGTGGGAAGCTGCTGCCTTCCCTCCTCCCAGTTTTTATTACTGCTTCCCATTTCCCTCCAGCCAGCCCAGCAGGCTGCTGCTCGCTGCGCCAAAGAGCTTCGCTGGGAAAGAACACTTTATTCCTTTGCGGTTATCCCAAGCTTGTTAGTTGGTGGCTTTTATCCCTTTATTAGGGATAAAAATTACAGCCATTCCCAGTGGTGTGCAAGAAGGGTGGGTTTAAAGCATTTGTCATTAGAGGAGCAAGAAATATAATAAATTTGGGCAGCTAGCACACAGCTCCATGGTGCAATAGTGTACACATCGCACTGAGAAGTAACTACAGGAGCAAAATCAAGTTGTTTTCAAGTGATCTGACACCAGGGTAAATTTGGTTTCCACACTTAAGTCAGCCTGAGGAGTCCAACTCCTCACTGCTTCAGGGAAGGACAAGAAACTGCACGCAACCACCAGCCCAAGCCGGGCTTCCCAGGAAACCTGAGCAGCACGAAAACAGCTCCTTCTGCACTGAATTTACCCCAGATCCTGTTGTGCAACGCGGTTTAACCTTCACGGTCGCTCCAGCGAATGCTCTGAAGCTGAACGCTGTGGTTTGTGGCCTGTGTTTTTTACCAAGGAGCCTTTTTCCCCTCACGGGGACTCACCTGGAAGGCATGGCTGGCAAAGCCCAGGCCCAGCTGCCGACACACCACCATGGCCTCCACGGTGCTCCAGTTCTCGCTGCAGACGGTGCCCCACTTCAGGGTGCCGTTGCGCTCAGCCAGCACCTCCACCCGGCCCTCGTAAGGGTTGCGGCCGCCGCTCAGACGCAGCTGCAGGGCATAAAAAACACAGATGTCAATAAAAATCCCCAGGGCTCGGTTTTGGGGCCAGTCCT